AAGAGATAAAGATAAGGAATACATAACAGTAGTGTGTATTTTATTGAAAAGTTTGATAGCCTATAAGGTAAATTATTTACATTCTCCTATATGGTTTGATATGATATTTGTAAAAGAATTTTATATCTTTCTAGGTTGCTGTTGCAGTGAAAACCTTAAAAGTTGGCTCAACTATTTCTGAGAAGCTTGATTTTCTGTCAGAAGCAGAAATGATGAAAAACTTTGTCCATGATAATATAGTACGTCTTTTAGGAGTCTGTACAAAGAGTGAACCTATCTACACTGTGATGGAGTTCATGTTATATGGTAAGAACTTTGGATTATTCCTGGTTATTTCTTTCTTTCTTTCTTTATTCTTTTTAGAAGTTGTAGGTACAGTGATACCAAACAAATGTTAAGATGACAATACTGGGTAAAGACGTTATAGTGTTTATAATATTTACTTTAGTTGTTATGTGTTATAATTAGGAAACCAGGAACTTAGATATAATTAGACTTCCTTTAACCAGGTGATCTGAAAACCTACCTCCTTGCCCGAAGAAACTTAGTCAATGAAAAGAATCGTAATGATGATGACGAAGTTAGTAACAGACGGCTCACTTCCATGGCTCTTGATATAGCAAGAGGATTGTCGTACTTAGCAGATCTTAAGTTTGTCCACAGGTTAGTTTTCAGTAGACCTTTTATATGTTTTAACAGATATACAAACTACCAGAAAATCAGCATTTTTACTTAACTAAGTAAGAAGAAATGTGTTTGAGTTTTTCAGTTTTGGTTCATTACTTTGTTTTGTCATTCCTATAACAGGTCTTTGTAAAGGGTTCTGTTATAAATACTTTAATAGATTGTATTGTGTGAGACATTAAACTTCCACATATTTTTCAGGGATGTAGCATGTCGTAATTGTCTAGTAAATGCAAATAGGACGGTGAAGCTTGCAGACTTTGGCATGACTAGGCCAATGTATGAAAACAATTATTACAAATTTAATCGTAAAGGTAAGAACACTAGTACATGCTTATGAAACTAAATTAGCACTGATTATGTAAGTGTATTTACAGAAGTGAACTCTTATTGCCTTGTATACATACGCTCATGTGACTGGAGTATGTTAAACAAGTTATCTTCACTATCTATTTCCTGACTTTTGCAGGGATGTTACCAGTTCGCTGGATGGCGCCAGAATCTTTGACAGATGGCGTCTTTACTACCATGAGTGACATTTGGTCATATGGTGTCCTGCTGTATGAGATTGTCACTTTTGGAGCCTATCCATTCCAGGTAAAAATCTATATTTTTCTTTTTTTTCATAAGTGTTATAAACAATCCTGTTGTTTACACATTCAGGTCCAAGAAAAAAATGTTGTTGGTGTCCTTAAAGATCACTGTTCATATGTGAAGTTTTAAGGGCTTACGTTTATATTTATGTCATTTTTCTTTGTTTTCCTTTTTTTTTTCTTCTCCTTTTCTTTAGGTAAGGTTTAATGACTAATTCTCTGTCATTTTTCTGACTACTTTAAGGAACTGCTGACACTTTACAGACTGCATATTGGCCTTATACCTTTCACCCTTTTTTAAAGATAATTTTTCTGTATACTGTTGTGACTTTGCTGAGTTGCAAGTGCAAAGAACGTAAAAAAAAGTGCAAGTTTATAGATAGGGACAAACCCTATGAATTATATTATAAAAATTTGCACTACTGCTTACTCGTGTAAATTTATTCAATCATTACCTTCCAGGGATTGACTAATGACCAAGTACTGGAACGTGTCAAGGCAGGCCACACTATAGCCATACCTCGGGGAGTTAAACCGCAATTGTGAGTTTACTTTCAAGAACTCATAATTTGATTACATTGATTGATATATAAAAATTTTAAACTGAATTAGATGATGATTATGATACAAATTACAGTAAACAACTTACAGTTATAAATTTTTAAGTGTGTATCTCTTTGATTTTCAGAGATGTTTTGCTGAGAATGTGTTGGCATCGGGATCCCATGAAGAGGCCTCACGTCACGCAGATCATTGACCATTTGACAAACTATCCACGCTTGATATCCCCATGCTTAGATGGGCCACAGTCCTCAGTACAAATAGAGGACACCATATCCTTAGAGCTAAGGATTCCAGATAAGGCGAGAAAACTGTCGCTATCTCTCAACAACAGGTTTCCTCAGGCAGCGTCCTCAAGTCGGAAGCGATCGATGAGCGGAAACATGGTGATGAACATGCCTCAACTCACCACCAGCCTCAGTGAGGATGGCATGATCTCAGCGCATTCCAACTTGGAAGCCCTCAATTTGAACCACGTGATGCTTGAGGAAAACGAAATGGGAGAGGACCCTTTGTTACCCCCTGCTCAGTACGTGTCCTCGAGATATATGACAATAGTGCATAAAGACCGCAAGGACCACAAAGACTACAAAGACCATAAAGAAAAGGAAAGTTTAGTGAGCAGACAGCAGGGGGACTACTGCACCACAGATATATCCCGTGATTTATGGACGAGTGTCACGCCTGTATAGGGTAACGCCAGCCTAGGCAAATCTAAGTGACCAAAGTAGTGTTCTAGTGTTTTAGATGGCAAAGATACAGCTATATATTGCAGCTTCTTTTTTGAGAAGCCTGAGACCAGATCATAAGCAAGAAAGCTCATATAAAGTACTCAGATGCTAATCTTTTCTGGTCATTATATTTTATATTATTTAAGTGGTATTTATGAGATTTTATTCCCTGTAATTATAAAGATAATGAGCACAGAAGAGATGCTTGCTGATATTGGCTTGTACTCAACACTGTGGATATTGACACTGCAGATGGCATCTATCAGTATTATCTCATTATGCAAGAAGATTCATATGCAAACTCTGATGCAATATGAATCATTATTTTAAGACAGCTATTATGTGCCAACGCTGAAGATGAAACCTCGCGGGTGAATGTTAGTAGCGGCTGTGTAGTGGAGCGATGTCACAGCTCTGGGCCCACAATATTCCACTCTTTCCTATACTTCATGTGACTGGAGCATATTCAGCAATGTATGTTTATACTACATTACAATTTGTAGGCTTATTGGCATGTGAAAACAGTATTTATGGTGGAATATATTTGCAATTGGATCATATAATAGATGTCATTTAGTTCTAGTGAGGGTTGGATTTCACAACTGTGAATTTAATATGGGTACTTTGCTAATACACTGAAGAAATTAAATTAAACGTAAAGCAAGTGTATATAGCATATTATAGGCATTATTGGCTGTAATAGGCTTACAACTGCATCACTTCAAAAAGCAGCTCTTCATTCAAATCCCTCATGAAACAGATTTTGTTTTAGCATCAAAAAATACTTTTTATGTATTTTTTATAAGCATTTAAAAAAATATATATAATTTAGTAGCATAACTAGATTCAAACAATAAATTGGAAAGATGCTGAAGAAAGTTCAGTCACTATGCTGAAAGTATGTTGTAATGACCATCACCAAAACCTGTTCTTTCATATTCAAACATGTAACCTAAAGCTATTTTCCATGAACTCCTTCAACTGTGTGCTGTGAAGCAAATTTATCTAGTCTGCTGTAAATCAACCCAGGAGAATTTTAGATACTCTTTATGGATTTCAAAATGGCCCTGTTATACTGATGCTCATGCATGCTTATTCTGTTATAAATATTATTGTATGTAATAGTTGATAATCTACACCTCATTTTGCTTTTCTGCTACAACTAATTTATTCAGACTCAAAGTAACATAGAAATATCCAAAGGGAAAGAGTGAAATGGTCATGCTGACCTTTTTCCACAAAGACTGGTTGTTCTGTTCAAGTTTCTTGGTGCAATGTACCACAAGTCTGTCTTACTTGATCAAGTAGATCAGACGGTCTTCTTGGTGTATGCTCCACGATTGACAAGGGCTAGGTGGTGCCTTTAGTCAATGTTGTGAGGATGAGAAAAAAAAGAAAAAAAAAGAAAAAGGAAAAAAAGAAAAAAAAAGGTTTAGTGGTGCCCAAGGTCTTTACTGCAGGACAGAGATGAGTCTTGCAGGCAGTTGCTAAAATAAGCTTCTCTTGGCTTCACTGCACTCCTCTGTAGTCATTTATGATCATAGTTGGTTGCTATGGTTGGTATGTGCTAAGCACACATCTTATATATGTACAGTGCTATAGCTTTTAGGGAATAATCATACGTAACACAATGTATATGCAGTCATCAGTCATCACCATATTTATCACCTCACTCATCAAGTTTAAGGTTGTGTATGCATCTACCATTTAAGGAAAACGAAGCACATTCAGAAATTAATTTTGTCTTATTTCTGGATGGTTATCATGAACAATTTTTATAATTTCATTAACAGGGTCAGTTAAAGCAGAGCTTTGAAAGGTAGATGTTCAATGGATACTGAAGCTCTTTAAGATATTTACCTTGATCAGTTCCTCTCAGTTGTAATTTATGATTATTATTATCTATTAGACATGTTTGTATTACTTTGAAAACTAAATTTGTATCAAGAATACTTATGTACGATATTTTATTATATTTATAATATTTAAAAATAGTATAAAATTATTGTTAAAGTGTTTAATGATAGAAACATTTCATTTCTTTTCCATTGGGGCCTACATGTAAAACTGAAGTCGTTAAATAAGCAATGAATGGTAATATAGCTACTACCAGGATAGTTAAGTGCTCTATTAGAGCAATGAAACATTGTCTTAACTTTTAGGTATATGGTTCTGAATTGATTTTATATAATAGTGGAACAGATTGGATATTTACAATAGATATATTGTACAGTCATTCACTCAACTGTTTTTAAAAATAATTTATATACAGATGTGTCAGTTTATGAAAGTTGCCTTTATTGTCACTATCATAAGAGAGTGCAAATATGTGGAGCAGTTTATGTCTTATTCACTTTTTTTGAAGTGAAGAGAAAGTTCATCCGAATGTAGAACGTTCAGTAGGAGAATCTCTATTGAAAGTTCAGTATAA